GAAATAAAATAATGGAGGAGCAAAAGACGCAATTCCAGGGACATAGGAAAATCGTCTCACAGGCAAATCTCTACTTGATCCCCGCCCCACCCCACAACCTGCTCCTCTCTCCTGCTCTCCCTATCCCCCTATTTCCTCTCTTTCGACGTATTTCAACTCCTCCGTTTGTCCCAGGGTCTTCCCGGATGGAGAGGTTTTCCGTTCCAGATTATTTATCAGGGCGTCTCGCCCTTGGACATTATCGGTCATGAAGGGGTTTGTTGGTCAGGATATCCGTTCCCGGAGAAAGGGATGCTTTCATATGTCTACCTCCTGCGTCTTGTATCAGGTCCCTGTTGAAAAGAAAGATACAAAATTGTTGTAGCTCCTTTTCTATTCTACCTTCAGCATATGAAGTATCACCGGTAAAATCTGGAAATTGCTAAATTGTAATTTCTTGCAATTTGCGCGGGGCTCCGTATGTTCTCTCATCATGCCACAAAAACGTCGACATTGAAACAGCCAGAAAATGAGCTCGCGTCGATGATCATAAGAGAAAGCGAAATGAGAGTTTGAGATATATTCATGCCGATTCCTCTCGGGTACCACGAACCGAGGCTGAACGTCCCGCGTACACAGAGCAAATAAGACAAATTCAATATAGGATGAGCAGTAAACAAGACTCCACATGGAATGGGCCTTGGCGCGTGTACACGGTCTTTCAAAAAGTATGTCATGTTTGACAAGTATGTCATGTCATGTTTAATGGAATTCTGGCCTTGGGTGCCTGTTCCGTTCAAAGATATAAATATCGAAGCTTGTCCTTGAGATCACTCCGACAACAGACTGCCTTCCAGTCCCCTACATGCTTCCATCTCGCAAGCGTCGAGAATCAGCCAAGAGTTTCCTGTGAGTAACTGATAATATCGTCTCTGCGACAGGAATTTGGTGTTTGTGTGTCTCAAGGGTCGATGTTGGGGCTTCCTTTCTGTGAAGGATGGTGGTTCGTTAACATTTACCAAAAGAGAATCGCAAACCTGGTTTGCGAGAATTTATTTTATTTGCTAAGGAAATATTTGTGATAATTTGTGGGATTCATTTCCCAAATCAAATGTCTATTTTTTCCCTAAAAAAATGTTTTTTTCTTAATATAGAAAGATAAGAACTTGGTTGTTTCCGCCTAATGATAATACTGTATGTCTCATGCATGAACAAAAACTTTCTACACTTAGCAAAAAGATTTTTGAGCAACTCTTCGCCCAAAGGAAGTAACAACATTATCAGACGCTTACACATTTTTTTTTTGCACATGGACTAATGAACATTTTTTATCAGTTAACTTCATTCAGGTTGGATTTAAATTTGGAAACACCAAGAAGCAACGATTCTGAACCAGTGTACCTACCGTTTTCATTTCAGACCTGAAAACAAGTCGAGGAAGTTGTGCATCAATATGAGGGGAATTTCATGTCTACTGTTTTCACAGATCCTTTTAATCGAGTACGGATCTGGAAAAGTAAGTCGAATCTCATCCGTTATCAAACTCTCCTACCGGCATTTAATACTATGGTGATATACGCCTCCCGCTTGTGGATTTCCGTGAAGAAGGGCATGAATGCCGTTCGAAATAAACGAAAGGTGGACGATTGTAATGAAGACATTGGAAATTGTCATATTTAATTCAAATGCGTTTGGAGTAATTTCCGGCTTTCATGCTTTTGGGGTAGTGAAAAAAAACTGTTTTTGGCTCCTGAGGATTGCGATTTTCGAGTTCAGAGTAAATAATAAATTATTCATTGGTTTTAACCTGAAGCCATTCTTGCGATGAAAACATATTTATTCATGGTTTGATTTCCCAGGCACTCGAAAGCACTCCCGTCCATGGACGGGAAAATACTGGAGGCAAATTGGAAGAAATAGTGCTAGTTCTGAAGGCTAAAACTCAAGAACTTGCAAAGCAAGTCTCACAACTGAAATCTGAAAATGAGCAACTGGTCAGTCTCAGGGACGACTACAAGATATTGAAGCATGACTTTGAGAACATCAGGCACGCTACTGGGAAGCTTGGGAATGACTGCGAGAACATGAGAAAAGAGCACGAAAACCTCAAGTCTAGCTTCCAGGAACATCTATTGGAAAGAGACAAACTTCAGCTTCAACTGAACACCACGGAAGGAAGACTCCAATATCTGGAGGCTATTAGCCTGCAAATAAGTGAGT